GGGGGGGGTTACCTTGGTTGGTGATTGGCTAATGGTTACACAAGCCAAAAAATCGTTATGACATCATAAAGTGGCCCAAATCTGATCAGCTGACTTTCCGACAGGCTTTTATATAAATGGATCAGGACAAAAAGTGAGAGAATCTTTTTTCCTGAAGCTTTCAGAATCTCTTAACACAGAGGGGACACATGTTTATGTATAAAAGACATGAAAAAGTGGATTTTGTATAATAGGTGACCTTTAAGGAATACATAGTCCAGTTTCCCAGTGTGTGTGTACCTCTTTGGCAAGGCGGCGAGCTTCATAGTAGGGTCTCGCTTTCTCTATGCAGCCACCAAGCTGAGAGCTGTGAGCATTTAGCTTCCTGGCAGACTCGGTGAGGATTTTCCGGTACCCTGATCTAGCATCCTGGATGGTTAATGCATGAAAATGACAAGATTAGATTTACCTGAATGGAATGACTGATTAGATTCCACAAAGGAGTATGACTGCCGGTGTGCAATCAATTCACTTGGGCATTAAACCATTCAACTCATAAACATTTTCCATTTTAAGAGTTCTGACTTTTCCCAACCTTATTCTAAAAGATATTAAAACTAAATTATCATTTTGATGAACACTGTCTGGGTAGACTAATAAAATATTCAACAACAAAGACATTCAGAGATTCTAACTAATCCTACGGTGGTAGATTTCATATTTCTCATGAGTTTTGTTTAGTGAAAATCAAAGTGTTTTTATTCAAACTGTTTTCCATATTTTTCAGCCATGTATAGAAAGACTGAACAAGCGCCCCTAATTAGGTGGTAGAAATCTGCATTTTTACTTACATCCAACTGCAGCTCCAGTCTATTAATTTCTGCACTGGCTTCATTAAGATGCTCCAACTCATCCTGTGGGGAAAAGAAAAAAAAGTGCTGCTTTAGGCTCCAATGTATTAACCACTAGGGAATATAAATGGCTTAATCCTCCAACACATACAGTCTAGACTAAATTAGCTCCGGTTTATAGATCATGTTTTATCATCACATATAAATGTAACAACACTGATTTTATTTTAATGTAAATGTAAATGTAATGCAGGGGAGACACAAACAGGGAATTAAATTAACTTCACAGGTATGTTACGATTTGATATGTCGGCGCAATTGAATGACAGATAATCACCTTTGATCTGACAACCAGATTTACATGGATTATGGATTTAACAAAGGAAAGTCTGTGAACACTGAGATACATTTAAACAGGTTTAAATAGTAAACATACTTAAAATTCCTTTCTGTTGTTCTTAATCCTCGTTTTCAGTCATTGCACAGTATTGCATTTAAAATAACCATCTGTAGTGGTTGTTTGTCAAATTCCAGTGGCTTTATTAGCACTGCAATGGGAAGTGTGTTTGTAGCAGCATTCAAACAAAGCATTGCACATAATGTGAAAATGAATGAGTAAAGATTAAACAAATGTAAAAATCACAAAATAGCAAAAAAAAAGAGAGAAATTAACAGTAAAATATATACATATTGACAATTGACATTTTAAAAAGCCTAACCAGGGACAAGGTCTACAAATTAGCTACGTATAAAATAACCTTTACAGGCCTACACAATGCATAGCATGCAATGGATTTAAATGTTACAGTGGCAACCGGTACTGTCATTATCAAATGCCTATTTCAGACCCAGAGCTAAAACACCCTTTTTTCTACCTGTGTTCCTTGCTTATTCTGTTGCTGCTATGACAACGGAATTTCCTAACGGGGATTAATAAAGGTCCATATTTTCTTGTCTTACACCCTGGCTGATTCGTATGTAAACATAGTTAAAAACAACGCACAAAGACACATCAGGTTCTTCATACCTTGATCCTGGGGTCCAGTTCTTCCTCATAGGGGCTGTGTAATTGCTCCCCCACTCCTTTTTGTTTTTCGGTTTCCCCTTCCTCGCAGGTGTCTCTGGTCGAGGTCTCTATAGTTGTCCCATTAGTTTCGGGAGTTTTGACCTCCTCAGGCCCACCGGGACACCCCTCCTCCCTCCAGTCCCCGGTGTCTGACTCCCCGGACCCGGCGGGGCTCTCTCGCAAGTCGCCTGGCTCCATTCCAGGCCACACCGTTTCGCTAGCAGAGGCGTTAGCTAAGATTGCTTCCTGGTGGCTATACCACTAAATGCCAGGCCCTGTTAACAAGGGTTGTGTTATTCAGAACGGGTACATAAGAAACCAATTCCAGTGTAGGCGAATGTTGCAATCGGCCATATCACGGCACACCGAAACACGAACAGCTAGCCTAGCACGCTAGTAGGCTAACACTGCCAGTCAGAATATAACGGTTACTTTACAGCAAATAGTTGAGAACAAACGGCTAGCATGAGATGAAAAGTAAGAGGAGGCCCATCAGTATGTTCCCCCATTACATGAGGTGTGTCGTCCATCTCTTACCGGTTCTTCATTACTTTAGCTAGGCTAGCTAGCTAGCGGTTTCGGTCTCACATCATCATTAGAAATGAAGTAAACACTGAACAGAGGGAACCTAACGGCCGCGTGTATCAAGTTTTGGCCACGTCGGCGCCCGTAGAGAGACACGCACACACACGCGCACAAAAAAAAACTGAAACTAATTCCTGTGTTATGGAAATGTACACGTAAATTGTGGCAAGATATTTGTAGATGTCTTGGATAAGATCTGTACATTTGAACTTTTTGAGAAATAATATTTTCTAATCTACATTCATAAACCTACATTTTCTTTTAAAAGATCCTCACGTTTTAGTTTCTGTTAGAAAGAAATATAACTATGTGGGCCTCTTCACACAATAACAAATTATGAATTGAAAAATATCAAAACGGTAAGACTTTGCCCCGTGGTAACTTTTTAAAGCTTAATTGCTCTATAGTGTATTCACTTAACAAGTAAAATATATTTCCCCATTTTGTTCTCTATATGTTTGCACTCTTTCTAATCTACTGTAACTGCTGCAGAGACATTTCCCTCTGGACACAGTTTTATCTTATCTCAATATGAAAGGAAAACACTGTATTCTTTCTGTACAAGCTAACTCAATTTAACAACTTATTAAAAAGGCAAAATAGTAAATTGGGTTTTTTATTCCAAAAATATACAAACCCAGGTAACAAACCTGTAAGGTGTAATACATTGGAGAATCATTCAAGAAAATCAATTGACTAACTGATTTTCATATAAGACACAAAAATGAGAGTCAAATGTTAGATTATACTGCAGCTTTGACCAACACCATAAACAACCATACCACAGATTATATTTTCATATTCGTAACAGACATAAACAAGTCACATAGGCTACCATAAATTGCAAATAATTTAAAACAATAGTGGCATACTAGTTGATTGCATTGAATGCATTAATGAGTGTCATTTGCACATTTAGGAGCATATAAAAATAGATCTCTTGTGAATTACTGCAGACTCGTCTAAGGCTGTATCCTACACTGTAAGAAATATGTTTTCGTATAATGAAAAAGACCTGAGTAGCATTGGCAATAACCCCAACACCAAAAAGGGAGGAAATTCATTCTGCATCATTACAGACAATAATCAAAAGTATATATAATTACATCAAACATAAACTTTAGAGACATCAGTCTTTGGTCTGTAATGCTTCTCCCTCAGACATTCAGAGATCACAAAAAAGCTAATACGCATAAATGGATCATCAGCTCCAGCTGGGATCATACTTGGTCCATCCCGGAGGAGGGGCCAAGTAGATCCTTCGTCCTTTTGAGATGAAACTGACGACCCCTCTGTATCCTGTCCTTGGCACTCCAGACTTCAAGTCATCCATCACTCCCAGGTTTTTGGCCAGAATTTTGAAGCTGTCCTTACTCGAGTATTGAAGGCGGTAAGGCCCAGTTCCTTTTAGCTGCCCCTGCTTGACATCTTCATATGGAACTACAGGAGCTCTGTAAACTTCCTTCTCAAAATGTTCTCTGTACTTCTCCTCCTTTAAGTAACTCAGGTCTAACTTGGTGAAAGGCACAAATTCGGTGTTCAGTTTAATGTATCGCAGGTATTTGTCATAGAACTGACCCAGACTGACTCCTTTCCGGCCAAAGGTTAAAGTTCGTGAGATCTCCGGGCGTATACAGGCACGGCCTCGGCGCTGCTCTGGCTGACGCATCCAGTCGTCCCAGAATGACGCGGGCCACTTTGGCTCCAGCTCTTCCCACATCTCCCTGAGGAGCATCCAGCCCAGACCGGGAAAGAAGTCTGTCCTGTAGAGCAGGTTGGCGCTGCCTGGATCCACGTAGCCATCCCGGCCATTGTCATTCCAGGCCGACACACACCACAGAGTGGGGTCAGATTTTAGGAGTGGCAGCAAGGCTTGGAAGTACTCAAAGAAGTCTGGCGCCACCTAGAGTAGGAGATGAACAATTTAATGTCAGTGTAACATGCACTGTCAACAAGTGAGATCATCTGCTGTAAAGATATGCAACTTGATAGCTGTGAAAATAGAAAATATACTCGTTTTTTTAATATTGATATATGAAAGAATTAACATTTTAATATCACTATGAGCTTCTAAATTAACTGAAGCAATTTTAGGCACTAATTGATGATATGATTACCTCCAAGTCATCCTCTACAACCACAGCAGAGGAATGAGAGAGGGTCTTGAACACTTGGTTGAGAGCCCAGCGGTAATGCCTGGAGATTTTGTAGTAACCCTGGAACTTCTTGTGCTCTGGTCGCACAGCGATATCTGACAAGACCGGCTGTTTCAGATGGATCACTTGATTTCCATAAGAACGGATCACCTCAGCAGTTTCAGCGTGCCCACAGTCCTGACTCACGATGATTGGGAAAAGTTCTGCGGAAGGACGGAGCTCCAGGAGTTTGTCCAAGCAGCGCCTCACGGTGACCCTGTTACAGGCGATTACCAGGATAGGTATCACAAGCTGGTGTGGGACGACTACTTTTGGTGCGTTTTTGTTTGACGGATCCCACAGGGACTGCTGATTCTTGATCTGAAGCAGGATTTTTCTCTGCATTTCCAGCTCTGCTTCGAACGTGTCTGCCATTCGGAGCACATCTCCCACCATATCATTGGTGGGCCTTTCAGCCACATCTCTCTTCCCCTGGCCATGCTCCCCAGTCTGGCCCGATGGGGGTCTGCCCCACAGCAGAAGCACAAGTATGGCGTTCCAGGTGATAAACAGGAACGTACCACAAAGAATGAAAGAGCCTCGCTTGCGGATCATGGCACAGAAACTCAGAGGGAGGGAGGGGGTTTCAGTAGGACAGGGTTTGAATACAATGATGAGTCCTGGTTACAAACACTAGGAATAGGATATGGGAAGGGCAGCATGTGTATTAACACAAGCACATATTCAGAGATCTGGAGTCACACTTTGTTGGCTCACAATGAAGTTACTCTGGTTATTATGACACTTAATACAGTGTCAATGAGGGCAAAAAATGAAGAAATTTGATGAGGGACAGGTCTCATCTTGGGGTTGTGGTTCAGGCATATTCCTCAACTCTCATTATGCTCTTCTATCTGAAATTAGAAGAACACAGTGTACTAAGAAGAAAATAAAGGTTGCAATAACAAAGACAACAAAGAAGACGAGTGCAACAACATTGTGAAAGATCGAATGAAATCAGGAAATGTTAATGTGCATTTCGTAGGAAGTTGTTTCCAGTGAACTGGAGTGATGATTCACACAACTGTCTCTGATCGATTTCCTCTTATCACCTGTGGCTGACTCGCTTGATATACGCCACAAAACGGGTTTTATTAAGCCCGAAAATCAACTATGAACCACGACTTTGTACCTCGCTGTCCTCATTGGTCCTCGACAGACAGGTTATACCCGACTGACTGTAAATACTGTAGCTTGATAAGGAGCGTGTTGAAATTAGCCCTTACCCTCTGAGCGTGTCTTCTTTTAGTCGCCATTTCTTCGATGACAACCAGCAAATGTATACAACCGGAGACAAGAGGACAATGCGGAGCGGATGTGAAACTATTCTCTTGCTAGTTTCCCGGCTGTAAAAACAACTTAACACCACCTTTAGTTTCTGCTGTCTCTCACAAGACAGAAAGAGGCGGAGGAACAGGAGGAAAAGTAACACGACGACTTCCTGGGTAGAGAGCAGTAACGGGAAGTCCCGCCCCATCTGTCACCTTGAGAAATTACACAACACTTTGACGTCTGTGGAGCTAATTAGCAGCTTATTAAGAAACAGCAGGCTCTGATGTCTGTATGTTGTTTGTTTTCAATCGGTCTGTCGTCGAAATATGGTGATAAGAGATCCTAATGCAACAACACATTCGTTCTGCCTAGGCTGCAGAGAAGTGAGTGTAATTTGCATCAAGGGAAAATGAGGCAAATGTGCTTTGGTTCAATGCAGACACATGCTTTTCCCTGCTTAATGACACATACACAGCATCACTTTTCATATTTAAATATCTTGGGGTTTATTATGTTACACTCAGCTATCATAGGCCCACTTTAGAACAATTTCCAGGTACTTATATTCTACTTTTTACTCCACTCCACTACACTTAAATCAATACATTTACTGGTCACTTGCAACATTACCTGCGACATTTAGCTTTTTGTATTTTATTTGATATGTGTATAGTTTACTTCTTCTGCATTAGTTGCACATTGGTCTTGCAACATAATCGTGCACTATTTTATTTCTACTCTGTTTCTTATTGCACCATTTTTCATTTGTTTTTATTGTGTTATGTCTTATATTTATGTTGCATTGTAGGAGGAGCCCGGAACTAAAGATTTTCATTTCCATAACTACACTGTAGATTCGGATCATTAAAACAAACTATAAATGAATTAATAAAGGCATTAATTATAGGTGTATAGCCTATTACATCTGTGCAGTACCATATTATCATCTTTGTCTCAACCTTCAATCCGTCTTTTAAGTGTAGTCTTTTTAACTTAGTGATTAAATCATGTAGCCTACTGTTTCTTATTTATTATATATTGCTCGGTTTTTTATTGCGCTTGTTGTTGCATTCTCCCTTTGCTAACACTGCAAATGTCCCTGTAGTTGGACTCATAAAGGATATAAATTAAGAAATAAATGTTATCTTCTATAGTAAATTACATTCTTGGTGTAGCACTATGCAAGTGGCCTGTGATCTATTTTCAGTCCAACATATTTCACAGTGAAAAACCAAACAACCATGTTAAAAACCACAAGTGTATAAGTAGTAATAGATTTGTCTTACTCTGACTTAAATAAAACATTTTTTATTGTATTTGACTCTATTCCATTTGCAAAAAAAATAAGCTTTCTGTGCAAATCATCTAACAAAAAATAAAACAGTGCCGCATTTGAATATACTACAACAACCAGAAGGCCTTGAATACACACGCTGCATGTTTCCTCTAAACAGGTGGAATTATACAAATGTTTGACTTTTCCCTTGTGCTCACCATACTATTTTGTATATTTTTTGATAAAGCATACCTTTCCTTGTTCTAAAAGCTCTTATATCACTGGGTTGAAGTCCGAAATGTGCTCTGAACAACGTGAAAGCCAACTACAAGTCAGCAAATAGGGTTAGATCACAGTGTGTATTTGTTGTGCTGAGGCCTTGGACTCTCAGTCAGGTCTGTCCTCTGGGACCATTTGTCCAGAGCCGGAGTTGTCCTTGGAGGAGGTGATATCACTGGGACTGTGGTTATCTGTCTGAGAGAGGACATTTACTATCATTTCATATAGTCTTTAGAAATATAACATCATTTTAATCAAATGAATCTTATTAAATCCCATGACAGGCTCACCTGCAGGTCATTGCTTTTGATGTTTTGATGTAGTGCCTCATCAGGGATACTGCTGGACCTCCAAAACACTGCCAGCTTCAGTGACATAAATCCTGACACCAGAGCAGTGAAAGACAGGCATGGGCTCTTCAGTGTTGACCAGCCACTTAGCACAAAAGAATGTCCTGCATTTTCCATCAAACATGGAGACTTTATGAACACTTTCAAAACCCCAACTGGGAATTCACAAATGTCCTGAACAAATGCTATTTTACAAATATGTGAAGCACGTGTTTCGTATTTAATCGTTTGAATTATTGCAGAGCATTTTTCTATTCCAGGCAGATTACATGTCAGTCTTCGTGCCAGCTGACGCACCAGCGAGTTTTTGGCAACAGGCACATGTGAGAGCACGTCCCCTGCGGATTGCGAAAGTTTTGGGCGATTCAATTTATTATTTCCCCTTGTTTCTTCCTCTCTCAACACTTTACCAGCCACCCGGGGTGACTTGAACGCCACAGTCACGCTTCTTCCCCCCGAAACCCGTTGGAGGAAAGCCTCCCACGCTGACGGCTGGTTGGACTGGGCGCGCTTAGCTGGGCAGACGCCGGCGAGCCCGAGGCTGTACGCGGAGCTGGCAGGCCGCTTGGTCAGTGGATTCCTGGTCAAGATGTTACCCCGACACCGGAGAACAGCAGACAGGGCAGAGGCGGAGGGAGTGGAAGCCATGCTGGTCTATGTATCCACAACAGGCCGCTTCTGTTTCAAGACTTTCTCTGTTTGTCTTCTATACTGTTCAATCTCTATCCAAGCAGCCACATAACTCATAACGGTTAATATGCGTAAAGAGAGCAATAGAGGAGGGGAGGGGGGGGCTTTTCTGCTGTGGTGCACCCGACCATATTTGCCTCGATAGTCCGGGAGGGGGGCTCAGGTGGGTGTGTCTTTAGGCAATAGTGGGGAGAGCAACATAACACACAGTATAAACACTGTGTTACAACTACAAGTCCTAAATTCAAGTAATCTATTATCTTATCATACTTTATAGCCCACTTTATATTCAACAACCCAGAAGGAAAATGTGAGTGTTTATTTCACTGGCAACTTAACAGTTTTTACTTATACACAAGCTACATATAAGGGCCATTGCCTTGTTTTTTTCAGGCTTGTTAGCAATGTTACTTTATTTGGTTTCACAAAAAAGGATCACAAGGCCTTACGTTTTCAATTGGGTAGGCCTACTTCTAATTGTATACATCACTATGAAAATTGGATCCTGTATTTTTAAGTTTGCCTTTAAATTTCAGTGTTTGTTATAGACTTTGATGATTGACTTGTCTCTTGTTTTGTTTGTCCCACACCCAAAGTGATGTATGACAAGCTATAACATATTTAATTCTGCCAAAACTGTCAACAGCTGTCCCCTGAGTAATTATGTAACAAAAATGCCATGAACGTTAAGAATCTCAAAGCTGTCACACAGGTTTGTCAGTCAAAACAACCGAGAGCAACCACTGAGTAGAAATGTAGAATTCAAGCCACCCTGTACACGCGTCTGTTTACACACCACCAGAGGGTATTCAGTGTCTGAGGAAGACATACAGGTTCTGGAAACGCAATAGGAAACACCTCTGTTTTCACTTGATAGAGGGCAAAACGGACGAGTCATCATTATGCTACTCACAGAGAAGAACTAAAAAAGGTAGATTAGTTTATACAAATGAAGTATTCAAAAATATTTAGAGATGAGCTTTCAAAAGGTCAAATAGAACTTTATTGGATGATACCACGGGGAACACAAAAGTCCTTTCCTTTGAGAGGTCCTTTTTATATACAAATAAATAAACATTCACTGGCTGGCTATGTACAATGACTTGGCTCTTATTAAAAGTTGTAAGAACGAGAAAACCTGAACGAATATTGGCAATCAACTTGATGCAATCAAAAGATACTCAAGTATTTTCATCACAGCATTTAGTATATTTACAGATTAATAATCATCATGGACAGTTTCTTTACACTTTACACAGTTTAGAAAAGAGAGAGAGAAAAAAAAGAAGAAACATGCTGGCCCTGTTTGCCCTGTTTGTCCCATACAGCAACTTTGAGCCTGTGTGTCCTTAGTTTAAAAAAATGTTGCTACCCTTGTTTACGGCCTAAATGTGTCACTGTGCTTAGTTTCTTCTTTTTGCAAGAGGACAAAAAGAGGCAAAAATGTTCACAATCATTTCTGTGATATTCCAGCCCTTCACGTTAGTCTCATCTCTGCAGCTCGTATCCCCCCACTGACCCCCTTCAGGGTCCAGGCCCTGGATTGAGTTCACCTGGGGGACGGTGTGATGTGTGGTTCCCATTGTTTATGGCCAACCCTACATTCGGTATGATCACAAAGGCCAGAATCCCCACCAGCATGAGCGCCACAGTGATGGTGATGATGGACGCCACCACCACGTAGTAGCACTGGTCCGAGCGGAACAAACGGCGCAGACGACCTCTGACCCTGCTGGGAGGCCTGCCTACGTCCACCATAGTGGCGGGGGTTAATCCCTGCTCCAGAGCACTCAAGGGGAGGTCCCCACCTGCTGTCACCTGGCAACCTTGGCTCTTTTTAGGCAGGGTGAGGATCTTGGGTTTGATGGAGCTGTTGTGGGGACGGTTCTTCAGGAGCAGTTGTCCCTTTCTGCGTTTGAATCGGATGGACAGGATTCTCTGCATCTCTGGGGGGAGTTTGCCTATGATGTCCTGGTTGTTGCCCAGGCGGGGCAGGTCCTGGCCGTGGGGGAGCTCGGTCAGCTCTCGACACACTGGGCAGCACAGGGTCTTGAGCTCAGGGGAGGTGACGTTGATGCGAGCGAGACACTCCAGGCAGAAGGTGTGCCCGCACGCCAGCAGCTTGGGGGTCTTGAAGATATTATCATAGGAGCAGAAACACACAGCACACTCAGTGTCCTCCACATCATTTTCAGGGGGCTTCACCTTCCTCCCAATGCTCTCTCCCCCTTTTCTGTTTCGTCCCCGGGCTTCCTCACTCCTCCCCCGCCGCCTCCTCTCTCCCTGGTGCCTTTCTCGCTCTCTCCTCCTGCCTCTCTCCGCCCTATCCGAGTCAGAACTCCTGGATCTCCTCACCTTCGCAGGCTTCTCCTTCTTCCACATGTCCTCCTTGGTGTTCTTCCCTTTCTGGCCGAGTTTTGGTTTGACGTTGGGGACTGGTCTGTCCCCATTGCTCCCTTCGGGCCTGTGTCTCTCCCTCTCATCGCTCATGCTGGAGGGATTGTGTTAGAGGTTGAGTGACGGATGGAATCTGTGAAAGATAAAAAACGTGAATGAGTTTACTGGCTCAGAGAAACCCGCAGAGCAGGAAACAGACTTTAGGAATTTACCTGCACAACATTGCTGTTTCACGATGATGGCGCAATAATGCCTAATCTATTGCTATCTGACATCTCTGTTGTATTAAAGGGTTATCTGTAGATTTGATTCATTTATTTAACATGATAATGTGTCACCGTATTTGTTCAATAGGTTTTCCTGCCCAGAAGGAATCAGGAAACATAAGAACTGCAGAACACGAAGTTCTTCAGATAGTTAAAAGTAAATGGAGATATTTTACGACCCTGTTTTCTTAGTGGGTATTTATTCAGGTTTATACACAGTCTATGGTTGAAACCCATAAAGGTAAATTAAACGAAGCGTCATCTTTTTTGGAATGTCATCGTAAACATTCTATAAAACCCATCCATCTTACAAAGTTGTCATTAACTCAGTTTTTACCTTGCAGCTGGCACACAATTAACTATTGAGCAGCAGTTTTCCTTCAAATTAAACTAAATACATTTTGACGTATGCAACAACTTGACAACGTTTAATTGTAACCTGTAGTTTATTGAATATTCAGGATTTAAGGATCTTTAAAATAATTGACATTTGCCGGCTGAAACCAGCAGGCTAGCAGAGAAAAAAACGTTTGATGACAAAGAACAGAAAAGTAAATAATTTGACAGAATATATTACACACACACACACACTGACCTGCTGAGGTAGCTTAATGTCCGATCACCTTGAGATAATCTCACAAGTAGAATAATCCTTTCGGGTATCAGAGCATTGGAAACGTGCAAATCACCAAACTTCATTACAATAAAAACAACTTAAAGCTTTCCTCTGAAGTCTTTTGGTCTCCCTGCAGTGCCTGCTCTCCTGGTCTGATATGTTTCCTCTCATATCTTGTTTTCTAACTGTAACGCAGCACTGCCTCCTCTGAACACACCCCTTCTCTCCCTCTTCTGGTCGGACCAGTTGGACCAGCTGTAGTGAGCCGGTGCCTCTTTATTGTGTCGGTGTGTAGCATGTTTAGATAAGCAGGTCAGAGAGAACTCATGTGGGTCCACTCACCCAGCAGATCCCATGTGATACTGGCATATCACTTAGAGACTGCTCTGCATGTGACAGCTCCATTTGCTTTTAAAAAATACAAATCATTAATATTTCCCATTGTTTGTTGATGAGCAATTAAAATCAGAAAGGTGGTATGAAGGGTCACGTGGTTTATAATGCTTTATGTGACTTTATGTGCATCAAGAAAAACAGCAGCAAGTGTTTGGAAAATGTCACAGTCACTGCATAAAAAGACAAGGGTTCAGTACTTTCCACACTGCAGGTATCAGCGGCTCATACCTGCCATACCTCCAGCCGCTATTAACACTTTACTACCCAAACAAGAGCAGCTGCCTAGCTTAAGCCTTCATTTCTGCTCAAAACCAGTTACTCCCTTTCTATCTGAACCAAATGAATGACCGAGAATACACCCCGGCTGACAATGCAATGCATGAAAGTATTTAAATATAAACAGCAATAAGATTAACACACAAAACCGATTTGTTTGTTTTGTCACACAGCTCTCCCTCAAAACTGCTGTGTCACTCTTGAATTTTTACACCCGGCTGTCCGAGGCACACCAAACCCAGAAGAAATCTATATTTGTATTATATGAAGTATACATATGTCGAATTCATTTCAAGTGAAAACAATGGTAGTATTTCAAGCCATAAAAAAACTAGATGAAAGTATAACTTCTGTGAGAATTGGGAGTTTCTAAGCACAAATAGTGATTATTTAAAATATCTCTAATGAGCGTGAAGAGCCCCTGTGATCCATGATTTAGCCAGTATGACAAAATAATTGTAGAAGGCTATTTGAATGCAGCGTCTAAATATAACCTGTAAAAAAATAGAAGTAACTTCCTGGTGCAATGAAAAAGCAGAGGGAAAGCCGAGTTAGGGGATCTTGAAAGGTGAACGATGTGGTGACTAATTACAGAGCAGGGAAGCAACTGACAAAAATAAGTGGTTGTAAAACTTTATTGCTGTAGAAAAATGAAAATAAACAAGATAAGGAGCCTCACACATGTGTGATTTGGAAATTAGTCTTTTCAGTTTGGTGGAGGCTCCTCCAAAAACCCGTGTTGACAAAAAGTCAACAAAGAGTCTGGTGGCTGTTGAAAAGCACTCGGGAAACAAAGCAGCAGTCTTGCTCTTTAAGGGGGTGAAAAACCCTCCCAGTGAGTTGGGACCGCAGTTGCAATGCAGGAAACTCCAGGTGCTTAAATGTTTCCTTGTGGTTGGTTTATGATTAAACCAGCCTCTGTCTGTGACCCACCCTCTGCTCCTCATGTGTGTTTAAGCTACACATTTAGTACAAAATGTCATCTCCAGTCACAGAAGAAAACAATTGAAGACAAACAGGTGGAGACAGGCTAGAACAATAGACTGTAGCTGACACTACATTTTCCAAACTTTTCCTCATTTCATTTTATGAAATTTCCAATAGTAATTTTGTCTGCCCTGAGAGAGGGTGGGAGTGTTCCCCCCCCCCCGCTCTTTTGATTTTCACCATCTGTCCCCTGAGCTTCGGGCCTCTCTTCAGCCCAGCTCCTCTTTAGCTTTCCCCTGCTTGCGAGGCATCTTCTTGCTGCTGCTGTCCTCCAGCTCTTTGCTCTTGTAGTAGTGAGGAGCCACTTCAAGAAGCCAGCTGCTGTCTATCTCAATAACCTACATGCAGGAAGAGAGAGAGAGAGTATATCAAATACAGGGAGGAAAACATTGAACACTTCCTCATTAAAGTGCTGTCTCATTCATACAAGCAGCTTTCTGTCCAGGACGTCACACTGGACTCATTGAAAGGTGTCTATGTTATTTGCATTTTTTTAAATATCTTTTTCTGTGGTTCATCATGACTGTCATTAGGGGTGGGGGAAATGATAGATACAGCATAGTATTGCGATACTTTGCGTGGCGATATTGTTTAGATACACGGATGCCAAGTATCGATATTTTCATTATATAAACTATTCATATTGCAAATCCAAATTAGCTTGGCAAAGCTACCGTCAAATTCTGAGCGAGAAAATAACTCAATCAATCACCTACTTGATGTGGAAAGACCTGCGTCCATACAGCGTTGTGACAACGAAAGCTTTTGCCCCTCCAGGTTAGACTTGCTCCAACTCTGCCTGTTTTTAAAAACCCACTTCTTTTCCCTGGCTTTTACAGGCCAGGTGACACTTGTGCTTTTAAATGTGGGTTTTTATCTTACTAGTGTTTTGTATTGTTTTTACGTCATGTAGGAAAGTTTCTCAGTCTATGGCTTCTGATCTGGTTTCATTGTCTCGTGTTTTACATTTGTTTGATGTCCTGTCTGTTTTTATGTATTTATTAGGGCCGGGACTTTAACGCGTTAATTAAGATTAATTAATTACACAAACGTTAACGCGTTAAAAAAATTAACGCATTTTAATCGCACTTATTTTTGCCCTGCGGAACGTTTCTCACTGGATGAGTTTCAGGCGTACCGATTATACTGGAGCACCAACTAACGTTCATGACTTCAGAGAACAACAAACCACAGTGAACAATAGTCAAACATGAACGAAGAAGCTGATGAGACCGCTTTGGTTGGCCCCGTGGATGGGACATTTTGTTTTAAAAACGGACGGATGGAAACGTCGATAAGAACACGGTTGTATGCAAATTATGCAAAAAGGAATTCGCATTTCAACGCAGCACATCAAGCCTCAAGTATCACCTCAATGCAAAACATATAGCAGCTAGCGTGGACGTTAGCCCGACTCCGAGTACAAGGACCCACACCATAGTTGCCCTCAGAAATCGGGAGCATTTCAAAATGCAAAAAAAGGGGGGGGGGGTGCTAGTGGATCGCCGAAGCTGTTAGATTAACATTAACATGCTTATTGTAGTTTTAAGTGCACTGCCTTGCGGCCTGTAGCACCGTCCTTGATGGACTGGACCTGCATTTTACAGGAAAGGAGTGAGCCAGTAGAGTAGTTGTCGATTCTTTTATCTGTTTTCTGTGAATATCTGCCTCAGCCTCTCAGACTTTGAGTTGCGCGCGCTACTAAAGAGACGTGTTACCATGGAAACCAAACAATGGTGTAGCTGTATTAAAGTCCGAGTGGAAACAGTCGTGTGTAAATCTGATTTTGTCAGAAATCGGGAGAAATGCGGGAGAAATATGACCCCGGGAGGAAACCGGGAGAGGGCAATGAAATCGGGAGTCCCTGCGAAAATCGGGAGGGTTGACAAGTATGACCCACACCCAACCCACACTCAACCAGATGACTGGTTTTAGGGCCAGGATA